GATGCAGAGGCAGGAGGTGGAGGCAGAGACGGTGTTTTTGTGCTTGTGGAGTTCGAGCGGAGGGAGAACCGCAGCCGGGTATTTCTGGGGGCTTGTTTTTCATTCCTGGGAATGGAGGGAGAGAGAGATGCTCCCCTCAAACTCATGACCGGCTGCGCTGCCCCCGTCTCGCCGGCACGCTCTGTGTCCCTTAGGCAGCTCCGAAGGCCCCAGTCATCGCCCGGCAGTGATGTGGGGCAGGGGAGGCCGTGGAGAGCCAGTCCCACGCCCGGGGAGCCCTTGGCCTCGGGTGCCCGTCCCGGGCTGAAGCAGACAGGGCCGTGTGGGCATGCGGCTTGGGGCTCTGCTCCTCCTGCAGCCCGTCCCCGGGGACCTCTCTTTCCGCTCCCAGGGCCCGCTGGTTTTCCCCAGGGCCGCCCATCTTTGCAGAGCACCCAGGGCTCCTCTCCCCAGCTGGCGCGGAAGCTCGGAGCAGGGAGCCCGGCGGAGGAATTCCCTTGGCAAGGAAGCAGCCCCAGAGTCGGTGCTGGATGGGGCATTCGGTGCTGGGATATCCTGCCCGCTGCCTGTCCCGGCACGGGGCTGCTGCCCGTCCCGGCCTCCCGGTCGCTCCAGCCTCCCCGGCTTTGCCACGTGCCCATCCCACCATCCCGGCAGCTTATCCGTATGGGAGCTGGGGACGCTCCTCCGGGCAGCTCGGGGGATGTTGGAGTGGCATAACCATCACCCCTGCGCCGTCAGGGACCCCACTGCGATACAGGGGGGGCTGTGCTGGGCTCTGCCACCCCCTGCTTTGTGGTCTCTGAGCTTTGACCTTGGCAGAGGTCAACATGGAGCTAGGTCCCAGGTGATGGCAAGGCTCTCCGAGTTGAAGGCAAAGCAGCGCCGGGGGGGTTTCCCATTGCTCCGGACACATCTTTTCCACTTAGAAAGTGGGTTTTCCTGTTTCCTCCTTGGCTGCAGAGCGTGTCGCTCCCGTCTCGCTCCGCAGGGCTTCGCTCCTGTGCGTAGGAAATAGCCCTCTGCTCCTGCGAGGCAGAGCCGTCGCCTTATCTGATGGCGTACTGGGATGAGCGAGTCTCTCTGGTTTGCACCGAGTGGATTTTCTAGCTTTGCCCGGATTGTTTTGGCCCGTAGAAAGTTGCTCCGGGGTGATGGAAAGAGCCATGTCCCTTTGATCTTTAATCTCGAGAGGCAGCATGTGGAGATTACGTGTCCCGGCGCGCGGTCCGGAGCTGCACGCCGGGAGCTGTAGTCCCCGTGTCCTGCCAGGAAGGCTGCCTGCCCGCCGCTGCTGCTAAGCCTGTTTCTTTGCTGCTCAGACCGCTGGTCTCAGGAGGACATGCTGACTCTGCTGGAGTGCATGAAGAATAACCTGCCCTCCAACGACGGGAGCAAGTTCAAAACCACCGAGTCCCACCTGGATTGGGAGAAAGTGGCTTTCAAGGACTTCTCGGGGGAGATGTGCAAGATGAAGTGGATGGAGATTTCTAACGAGGTAACCGACAGCCGCGCGGGGCTCGGAGGGGTCTCCGCGAGAGGGACCGAGCGTCCCGGTGATCTCCCTGCGCTGTTTGAATTGCTCGAGTTCAGCGCCCCGAGTCCTTGGCCCCTAGTGCCAACACCATCCCGCTGCTGTCAGCGTTGCGAACCCTTCGGAGGCGCTGGGCCGGGTCGTTTGCACGGTGGCGTTAACGAAACCCTGGGGGTCTATGCCGTGCCGAGCGTGGCTGGGATCTGCCCTGTCCCCCGCGTGCAGCCTGTTCACGTTTGTGGCCCTTTGTTACCCCACAGGTGAGGAAGTTTCGGACCCTCACGGAGCTCATTATGGACGCCGAAGAGCACGTGAAGAATCCTTACAAGGGCAAAAAGCTCAAGGTATCTGCCAGGAATTGGGGTCGGTCCCTAAAGGGGGACCTCTCCCTTCCCCGGGACGGGAGGCTGTCACCCATGTGGCACCCCAGACCCGTGTGGCTCTGCCGCCAGAGCCCCTGCAGGCACCTCACCGCCCGTAATCCTCATGGCCGGCTGCCCAAGGCTCTGGAGGCCACGGGCTCTGGGCTCGGGCCAAGTCCAGGGTACATTTAATATGGCCGGCTGTATTGCTGGCAGCCTGCATCCAAGTTTAGCACCGGGGGGGGGGCCCGGGAGGCCCCGGCCTTATCCCTGGCCTGACGG